AGGTGTGATTAAATCTATGTTGAACACCAAGTTTCAGGTGTGATTAAATCTATATTGAACACCAAGTTTCAGGTGTGATTAAATCTATATTGAACACCAACTTTCAGGTGTAATTAAATCTATGTAGAACACCAAGTTTCAGGTGTAATTAAATCTATGTTGAACACCAAGTTTCAGGTTTAATTAAATCTATGTTGAACACCAACTTTCAGGTTTAATTAAATCTATGTAGAACACCAAGATCAGCTTATTTGCAAGACCCAGAAGACCAGGTTTTGAATCATTTCAAGTAATTGAATAGTGTCCAGTTTCGTAATGCAGTTTTGTTGTTGTAGTTCCATAGTAGAGGCGAAAGTTAATGGAATGTTTGTCTAACAGCGTTTGTTTTTATTCTAATAAACTATTACGGAACAGGGATATGATCCTGATAAACTTTAACTGCACATTGTAACGTACAGATAACAATTCAACTTTATTGTTCAAATAGAAATGATTGAATTTTTCTACTTCCAGGTTACAGTCTAAATAAACCTTGAAATTACTTTTGTTGGCTCCTCAGGTGTACAGTATTACTTCTAATAAACTGTCAAATTCAATACAGTTTTTGTACAATTCAAAGAAACGATTTTTTCCACCGTATTTTCACAGTGGTTATTTTGCTGAATGCCACTTTCCACTTTATTTTTTTTTTTGTGTGTGATAAATAATAAATCTAAAATTAATTTCTAATTAACTCGTGTGACCCATAAAACATAGCTTTTCTTAACATGTTAATGCCATTATGAAGAAACCTTAATTACGTCTTTTTAAACTAATCTCAGTTTTGAGTCTGTTAAAATTCATTTTAGAGCTGAAGTATCTAACGTTGACTTAAGCAGTGTAGCACGTGCTTCTAGAACAACGAATCACAGTGTTCTGATTTGTCGCACAGCATGTCGTATAGGGGGGCCTAATCACCGAATAGAAAAGAAACATTTTCACACTGAAAAGAACCCGTGAATCACTACAGTGTAAATTTAAGTATTTTGACATCAAAAATTCTAATTCTTACAGGTGCTTCTATCTTTGAAAAAAAAAAAAAAAACGCCACAAGAAAGACGAGCTAATAGGGTATTCATTATATTACATAATGAATAGATTAAATAATCGCTAAGTTTAAAAACAAAAATAAACTTGACGATTGTTTAACCTATTCTTTCATTTTGATATCTTTGTCGCCTATGCGTTTAACTATATATTTATTTTCAAATTTCGAGCACTTTACCACAAGAAGGCGGTTTTCGCACACACCCACACCCACGCGCGCAAATTAAACGTTAAAAACGCTATAATTAAATTGAAATATTGTTTCTTTTCCATATGATATATCAGGTATGCCGGTCGCACAGTCTGTTAAAATTCCTTTAAGATAATTTAAGCTTGGCGTGAACAGTGTAGCACGTGCTTCAACACTACACACCTGGTCAAACACACAACCACAGTCTTCTGATTGGTCTCACTGTATGTCGTATTTAACCGTGGACGTCTCTTTCTGGCACTCACCCGAGTCTTTAGTGGATTCGCAAGTTCTTGGAAGGAGTTTAGATGGTTTGGGGGTCATGAGCATCAACCAGAATTTTAGTGGATTCACAAGTTTTTGGAAGGAGTTTAGATAGTTTGGAGGTCATGAGCATCAACCAGAGTCTTTAGTGGATTCACAAGTTCTTGGAAGGAGTTTAGATGGTTTGGAGGTCATGAGCATCAACCAGAGTCTTTAGTGGTTCTACAAGTACTTGGAAGGAGTTTAGATGGTTTGGAGGTCACGAGCATCAACCAGAATTTTAGCGGTTCTACATGTTCTTTGAAGGAGGTTAGATGGTTTGGAGGTCATGATGGCATCAACCAGTCTTTAGTGGTTCTACAAGTTCTTGGAAGGGGTTGAGATGGTTTTGGGATCCTAATCAGAAAAGGATTCTCTGTCACATCTGAGACAATTTTTTAAGTGAGAAATTGCAACCCAGATTTATCTGTCATGTTTTAATTGTACGAGTTTACAAATTTACGAATTTTAAAGCTTGCGAAATTACTCTTTGCTATGTCTTGTTCATCCCGATCTTCGTGCCAACATGCACCTGTTATTTATTCGTTGCTGGTGGTACTCCAAACTCAAGGGAAATATCGACTTAATCTATAAGTTTAAATAAAATAGTGACACCATAGTAGTCGATTTTAAATGTTTGTTTTTTTTATTCTTGTCAGTAAAATATAAGAAATATATAAAAAATTGTAGTAAATTTTACACTCATATTTCACTTCTTAAAACGTTTCTAAAATAAAGGCTGAGAAATAGCTTTTATCTTGGCAAGAACTAAATAAGAATTTAACAGATGATACAACCAAACTACTGATAAAATAATTAATAGGGCTGCGTTCTTAAGTCCAAATTAAATATCATTATTATGGTTTCAACCCAATAGAGTACGCTACCAAGACAGTCTTATCTCAAAGCCGAAACGTGTATATTCGACAATTTCGTACTACATACAAAATCGCACAATTTAATGTTGGTTAATCGAGACCAACGTAAGTTTTTAAAATCGCCGTTTAAAATTTCTTATTTTAGAAAGTTTTATTTTCAAAATATGTTTAATCCAGTACCGCAGGATATCATGCGTTCAGTATTAAGCCTACACATGGGTGAGAATTACATTTAAAGTAAGATCAGTATTAAGCCTACACGTGGATGAGAATTACATTTAAAATAAGTTCAGTATTAAGCCTACACGTGGGTGAGAATTATATTTAAAGTAGTATCGGTTCATTATTGCAGTATTTGTTATACCAAATTACATACATACAATCAATACCCTTATTTTACGCAAGCGGTCAGATGAATGATTTACAAACTACAAACCCAAAACTTCTGGAAAATTCGATCTCCACATCTAAGCCTTAGAACGTTCAGTTTCTTATTAACTACAATTATATAGTTTACTTTAAATGTAATTCTCACCCACGTGTAGGCTTAATACTGAACTTACTTTAAATGTAATTCTCACCCCTGTGTAGGCTTAATACTGAACTTCTCCAACTTATAACCGGACACTTATAAATAAAGTTTAGAGATAATATACCATATTTTCGAGCAGTTTTAACGCAAGATCTGTGAACTCATGTTATTTCTTCATATATAATATTTTCTGTCTAGTTTCATCACAGATTCGTTTACAAACAGTACAGAATAACTTCTTTTTATCACCCCCCCCCCCACCACACACACATAATTTTCAATGTCATTATAAGCTGCCTTTCCGATGGCTCAACGGCGAATAAGAGGGCTTGTAACACTCAAAAGCAGGGTTTGATCCCCACAGCTCATTGTGCTAATTAAACTATATATCACTTTCTTATTTACGTTAATACATCTCCCATTGTGAGGTAGTTTTTACCTATATAATAATGAGAACAATTTTAATATGTTCGAAACACTTTTCCGAGAGTATGTACATGTGTTAGGTCTTTCAGTAATGATCGTATTCATTATAACCTGTAATCTAAAGCGGAGAAAAAGATATTTTCCAGCGTTTAATAATTATGAAAATTTTGTTTATATAGGCGAACTTACCGAAGCGTGGGTGTTATTAGTAACTGCCTCCCCCTCTGGACTATCAGTTCAAATTGTATGGGCGGCTATGCGCAAATAGGCCTTTGTGGAACATATAAACGAAACTGGTCAGCTCAGTAAACAGTATGAAATTCAGAAAACAACTTGTGAACGCACAAAAACTGTAATCTGTAAGAGTTTCTTTTATGTAGTTAACATTAGTAACTGTAACATTTAGTGGAGAAATAAATCTGTTATCATGAAACGTGCAGATGGTCATACCTATTGTCGGTCAGAATTAGGGTTAGGAGTGGACGAGAGTTCCTTATCACTTAGTGTATACAGTACTGAGACATCATTTAACGTCACCCCTTTTACAATCGTAATGCAAATTGTAAAGGTTTTTGATGACGTTCAAACATAATATTTAAAAATTAGTAAATGCAAAAATTCCAAAATATGGCCTATAACTTATAAGTATAACCAACCACATTTTAAATTTGAGACCTGCTTTTTGACACAGTACATACATACCCGCACTGTACTTGTTTGTAGTGTAAAGGTCATCATCGTGTAGGTCAACTTTGACTAGCCTAAATTCCACTAGGGATAAAGATAATCTCTTGATGTTGAAAATAATTCTTTGTGTTTGAATGTGACCTCGGAAGGACTCGACAATCAACAACACTGTGTAAACACGAACTTGGCCAAGTGTGAAGCGACACCTGTTGTTTCTTGAATTTTTGTTTAAGTAAAAATAAATATTTATTTTTGCTCCCCACCAAACTGTTTTTACTGTCATTTTATACCGTTGAACATTAATTTGATTTTGGTTTAAAACTTATGATGTCACTCAGTCGCAATTCTGTGTTGAGTGATTCATCAAATTGAATTACTTTATAAATGCTTAATTACCCGACAAACAAATTTACCAGATTAAAAATGTCGCAGCTTAGGTGAAACACTAACACCTAGTTTTGTGTTTATGCAATATTTAACTTTGGTTTTGTATTTCGGGTAAAATTGACTTTTTTATCTTTACAAATGGAACTGATAATCGAATTGTCGCGAAATGGGAATTAAGAACCAAAGCTTGTTTGCTGAATTAATAAAACAAACTGAAAGATATAAAGTAAAGACTTGTGTCGTTAAAGTTTCATTGGAACGAAGTTACGGAAAAATTAATTAACACACGGAGACGTAACAAATTAAAACTGGTTTATTCTTTCCGAATATAACTTTGCCGAAACACTCAACTTCAACAATCGCGCTAAAACAAACGCTATATCAACGAACGTCAATAATACTTCTGACTGCAGATCAATTACACATTATCTACACACACATTACCTCCCATCCTTTATACACCAGCGCAACCCACTTCCAGCAAGAAGCAGAACACCCGCCCAAAGCACATGATAGCTCCAGAAACAAGAACAGCGTGAGAACC